GAAAGAAGCATTGTTATAGAAGTATGAACAAGTGATTACACAAAGCAATCGACTATTGATATTTAACCACCTCACTTTTGGGGACCCTAACCAACTGGTCCTATTTTTACTCCACAACTTGTGGAGTTTTTACAAGAAATTCAGTATACTAGTTTACTTATCAAATAACTCCACTAACTAAAAAATAAACTTCTAAACTAAGTAAACTTTATATTTTACTATAAGAAACATCATCATAGCCGAAAAATAGGCCAACATTTCTAAAAAAGACTTTCTCCTGCAGACCTGCTGTGCCCACTGGTTCTTGCCCACTGGTTCAAATTTTTAAAAGAATTTAATTTTTGTTGGATAATTTATCTACTACTAAACTACTTAAAGATTAATTAGCTATACAGCAGTGAAGGGACATTTTGTTCATGTGGATTATCCATTTTAGATCCCAGTTGAGTTCACTGCATTGTCTAATTTGAGCACTATTTGATAAGTTGCTGAACACAGAGATAGGAGTAGCTTGAGAGCACAAATGGCTATGAACACACACACACACACACACACACACAAACACAAACAGGAATTTTGCTTACACATATAATACTTTCCTATTCGTCAACCAATTCCTGAGCCCCCTTCTGGGCTAGCCCTAAATCCCCAATTCTGGGCCACGTGATTCACTTGGTTTGTAGCTAACTCCTGTAACTGTGAGAACATGAACAGTTGAAGCTACTCTAACAACTGGAAGTTCAGTGGGATTAAAATAAAAATCAGGACTCAGAGATAGTCCAACTGGAAAGTAGCTGACCCAGGTTCCATCCATAGCACCACAGAGGGCTCCCTGAGCCAGTGCGGAGTGATCCCTAAGCACTCAGGAATGAGTCCTCAGCACTACTGAAGGTGACCCCCAAAAGCGATTTAATAAACACAAAACATCATGACATCTGAATATTAACGCCCACTAATTCCTGAGCAATATATTATTATTATTATTATTATTATTATTATTATTTGCTTTTTGGGTCACATGCGGCAATGCACAGGGGTTATTCCTGGCTCTGTACTCAGGAATTACCCCTGGCAGTGCTCAGGGGACCATATGGGATGCTGGGAATAGAACCCGGGTTGGCTGCGTGCAAGGCAAACGCCCTACCCGCTGTGCTATTGCTCCAACCCTCCTGAGCAATATTTTTGTGGGGTGTGTCAGGACTGTGGCGTGGTCCTGGTGGGCGTTTGCAAAGGAATCTTTGTGAATTTTCCCTCAGTGAAAACATAAAGACTTTCTGCTCCATATGCCATCTGTTCAGATTTTCACTCTCCAACTACCCCAGACCTGGTGACGCCCCAGATGTCCTGGTGACCTGATCCAAGACCAGAAAAGGAAAAAAAAAAAAAAAAAAGAACTTTCCTGACCAGAAAGTACCTGGTCCGGAATATTTGGAGCGTGGCCCTTTAAGACTCTGACCGGAAATGTAGGTGACGCCATGGAATCGGATTTTTTTTTTCCCCTTGAAGCCTTTCCAGGTTCCTGGCGGAAGTTGCAGTCAGCCGACTTTGTGGCGGAGCCTAAGGACTGGGGTAGGAGCGGGTGAGGGGGTCCCGACAGGGAATAGGGGGGTCCCGGAGGGCCGTTTTCCGCGCTGTCCGCTGAGTGGTCGCTCTGAGCGCCCTGAACCTCCCGGGTCTCCGCCTTGTGGGCGGTGGGGTCGCTGGGGGGCGGTGGCCCGGGGTGGCGGGAGGCACCGAGCGCTCCTGCCGAAAGGTTTATCTTGTTTATAAATTGATTTTGAGGGAGAAAAAGGTCGTTTTTACTGAGTAGAACTTATTTAGAAAGATGCTTAAGGGGGGTCGCTAATCCCGCGGGGCGGGCGCCGGCCGCAACCCGCGGTGCTCAGGGCTGACGCGTGAGAAAAAAAAAAAAACGAGCTGGGAAAAGCAAAAGTGGCTCGAAAAGTTTCAGCAGAGGCAGCAACATTGGAACAAACAGAAGTGAAAGTATTTTCATTTCAAACAATTTTTTTTTTTTTTGCTTTTTGGGTCACACTCGGCAATGCTCAGGGGTTACTCCTGGCTCCTGCACTCAGGAATTACCCCTAGCGGTGCTCAGGGGACCCTATGGGATGCTGGGAATCGAACCCGGGTCGACCGCGTGCAAGGCAAATGCCCTCCCCGCTGTGCTATTGCTCCAGCCCCCTCAAACGTTTTTTTTTTTTCTTTTTGGGTCACACCTGGCAATGCACAGGGGTCACTCCTGGTTCATGCACTCAGGAATCACTCCTGGCAGTGCTCAGGGGACCTTATGGGATGCTGGGAATCGAACCCGGGTCGGCCGCGTGCAAGGCAAACGCCCTCCCTGCTGTGCTATTGCTCCAGCCCCCTCAAACTTTTTTTTTTTTTAACGGTTTTAGGGCTGTCCCCTGCATTGCTCCGGGCTGACTCTGAGCTCAGGGATCCTTCCTGGGAGGCTGGGGCGGGGGACACCCTGTGGGATATCTGGACCCGAGGCTGGTGCGAAAGAAAGGGGCAGAGCCAGAGGGAGCCTCACCGGTGGGGCGTGCTCGTGCCACCTCTTCATTAGTTCCCTTGTAGACGCACGGAGCCCCCAGGTGGTTACAGGTATGGGGCTGGGGAAAGTCCTAGGAATGTCCCCAGATCTGCCCTGCCCTTTGCTGGCCTCCTTTCATTCGCTAGGGTACTTATGGGGTCAGGGCAAAAGCGTTGGTTCCCCTTGTCAGTGTGTGTGTGTGTGTGTGTGTGTGTGTGTGTGTGTGTGTGTGTGTGTGTTGGGAGACAGGGGGTGGGAGGTGGTCATTTAAATTTTTTTTTCTTTTTTCTTTTTGGGTCACGCCCAGAGATGCACAGGGTTTACTCCTGGCTCTGGACTCAGGAATCACTCCCGGCGGTGCTCAGGGGACCATATGGGATGCTGGGAGTCGAACCCAGGTCGGCCGTGTGCAAGGCAAACACCCTACGTGCTGTATTATCGCTCTAGCCCTGGAACCCAGACTTTTTTTTTTCTTTTTTGGGTCACACCTGGTGATGCACAGGGGTTACTCCTGGCTCTGCACTCAGGAATTACTCCTGGCGGTGCTTAGAGGACCATATGGGATGCTGGGAATCGAACCTGGGTCGGCCGCGTGCAAGGCAAATGCCTTACCTGCTGTGCTATTGCTCCAGCCCCTAAAAGAAAAATAACTTTTTTAAAAAAATTTTTTTATGTAGGAGTACTGCTATTTATTCAGCCACTGATTAGGCTGATTGAAAAATTTTTTTAAAAAAATTTTTTTAAAAAGTTTTGTTTAGGGCTGGAGAGAGAGCACAGCGGGTAGGGCGTTTGCCTTGCACACGGCCGACCCAGGTTCGATTCCCAGCATCCCATATGGTCCCCTGAGCACCGCCAGGAGTAATCCTGAGTGCAGAGCCAGGAGTAACCCCTGTGCATCGCCAGGTGTGACCCAAAAAGAAAAAAAAAAGTGTTGTTTATTGTTTGAAAGATAACTGCGGTGTTCAGGGGACACTCCTGGTAGGTAGTACTTGGGATCCTAAGGGGTGCTGGGACTCAGTCTGGGGTCAGTTGCATGCAAGGTGAACGCTGCCCCTCCCAATGTACTGTGGGATGTACTCCTGCCCTGTGGGATGCAGGGGGTGCACGTTTTTTTTCATGCTTGGGGCTCAAAAGTATTTGGCGGAGCCTTTATTTTCACATGTTTCATGCTATTCCAGTACGCTTTTGGGATCTGGGGAGATGCAGAGCTTAAAGAGAATGCAGTAGTCTGGTGAGGTAGGGGGTTGCATCAGGACTGTGTCGGGCCACACGAGATATTGCAACCAAGTGTGCAATCTTAGCAGCAAGTAGCTGGGGTACTTGCTGGGTGTGCCTCAAACCCTCTCATAATATAATCTAGGATCACCATTGGCTACCACAACTTTATTTATTTCAAATAATTAATTTTTAGTAAGTTTTAAAAAAATTCTTGGTGGGAGACACTTAACAATGCTCAGGGATTATTTCTACCTCTGCACTCTGATATCATGCCTGATGGTGCTCAGGGAACCATATAGGATGCCGGCAATCAAACCTGGGTTGGCCACATGCAGCAAAAGAACCTTAACTGCTATCTCTCCAGCCCTTATGCACTGGAAAATTCTAATTTATTTTTTATTTTTTTACATTTTTGTTTTCCTTTTTCAGTCACACCCAGTGATGCACAGGGGTTACTCCTGATTTATGCACTCAGGAATTACTCCTGGCAGTGCTTAAGGGACCATATGGGATGCTGAGAATCGAATCCGGGTTGGCCACATGTAAGGCAAACACCCTACCCGCTGTGCTATCGCTCTAGCCCCCCCAAATTTTAATTTATTATTGTTAGTTATTTATTTATTGCTTTTTGGGTCACACCTGGAGTTGCACAGGGGTTACTCCTGGCTCATGCACACAGGAATTACTCCTGGCGGTGCTTGGGGGGGCCATCTGGGATGCTGGGAATTGAACCAAGGTCAGCTCATGCAAGGCAAATGCCCTACCCGCTGTGCTATCGCTCCAGCCTCTATTATTGTTATTTTTAATTGTAATTTTTGGACCTTACAGTAGAGCCTGGCAAGCTCCCCATGGTGCATTCGATATTCCAAAAGGGGTAACTGTAACGGGTCTCATTCCCCTGACCCTGAAAGAGCCTTCAATAAGGCACCGTTGGGAAGGATGGGTAAGGAGAGGCTGCTAAAATCTCAGGGCTGGGACAAATGGAGACGTTACTGGGGCACTCTCTAGAAAATCGATGAACAATGGGATGACAGTGGTGATACAGTGAGTTTTGGGGCCACAGCTGGCAAGTGCTCAGGGCTTACTCTTGGATCTTAGCTCAGGCATAGTTCCTGGCAGTGCTGGGGTGGAGAAATGTACTTTTACGTTTACATACCTATGTACTTTTACATATTTACCTCAGCTTAGCTGATTGAAGGAAAAGGACCCTGTCAACTCTATTATCTCTGCTAACTCTATATGATTTTATTTTTTTCCAGAGAAAGAATTTCTGCTTCACCTGTCAAGCTTGTGAGCATCCCCCGTTGTCCATTTCTCCCAGACCAGAGGCTCCCCCTTCTGTTCAGGTGAGTACTTGCAGAAACGGGGTTTGCAGGGACCAACTGCACTAGGTTTTAAATGTCTTACTCTCTGGGTACAGCCAGGAGGGCATTGGTCTTGCTCAGGGCCAACTTGGATTCGATCCCCTGGCACCCCATGGGATTGTCTGAGCATCGAGAGGAGTGACCCAAATACCACAAAAGATAATAAAGAAAGGACTGGAGTAGTAGGAGAGGAAACAGGTAACTTTCCTTGCATGTGGCCTAGTGGTTCGATCCCCAGCACCCCGTAGGGTTTCCTGAGCACTGCTGGGTGTCTCCCACAAACCTGCCCCCCCAAAAAACTCACTCCAGGATTTGTCTTGAGCGTTTTTTTTTGTCATGAGCATTTTTTAAGTACTTTTTTGGGCAGTTTTGGGCTTCTCTTCTGCCTTTTTGTTTTGTTTTTCATGTTTTGCTACTAATTTGGAGATGGTCAGGCACTCTGCCCCTCTGTCCATGTGTCTCTGAGATGCCACATCCCCCACCATTAAAGCAGGTGCTCTGTTCTTTGAGCTTTTCTCCCTGGGTTTTTTATCTCACTCCTTGGGGATCAGGTGGGATGGGATTTCAGGCCACACGTGTCAGTGCATGAGGGCTGCGCCCTGCACTGTGCTTAGTGAAGGTACCAGAAAAGGCTCCTTGGGCTTCCAGCTAGCCTGCATCTGCTGCAGCCCAGTGAGCTCTTTCCTGCCCTCCTGTTCATACCTTCATTAGAAGTTCTCAGGTGTGAACATTCTGGAAGACTTTCAACAAGAGCCTGTCAGGAGGAAAATGAAGGGGTTGAAGTCTCTGAGCAAAATTCACCAATAAGATTTCTTTTGGGTCAAGTGTACTTCCCCTCTTATATTTCTTACATGAAATCACACTCTCCAATGAATAAAATCGTGTAGCCTGTGAAACCTGGCCTGTAAGCTCTGAACATCGCCAGGTGTGGCCCCCAGACAAAAACAAACCAAATAACTGACCCTTGAGATTATACTGCTAGATTTCACATCTCTGCTGTTGGCAGATAACTTCCTCTTTGGCTTTATTTGGGAGGTTAGAGGAGTTGAGGTGGGGTTTCTGCCAAACTCAGCAGTGCTCAGGGATCACTCCTTGGGGATTCAGGATGTGAAATTGAGTCTGCCATATGCATGGCAAGTGCCCTGCCCACTGGTCTCTCTTCTTGGCCCCTTGGAACCTTTAAAATTGCAGCTTGTGCTACGGCCTTAGTCATACTGGCAACTGCCAGGTGCCAGCAGCCCTGTCATGGTCTCTACCCTCTGGGCCTCATCCCTGGACCCTCATCTTGCCAATCTGTGTCATATCACAGGGTTCACAGGATTTATATAGAATATGAATCCCTGGGTCAGAGATAGGTCAGGAGTACAGGCCCTGGACTTGCAAGCAGCCTGTCATGGGACAATCCTGGCACAACACAGGGTCCTTGAAGCACCGCAGGAATAAGCCCAAAGTTCTTCCACTTGTGGCCCCAAAACCCAAACCTGTGTCTTACAAAGTGGGCTGGTGGGGGTTGACTAATAAATTCTACTTTTTCTATTTGTTTTTTGGGTCATACCCTGTGGTTCCTGTTTATAGTACTCAGTGGGGTCCTGGGGACTGAACACAGGTCAGCCAAATGTAAGGCCAATACCCTAGTGTGCTATAGCTCCAGCCCCCAAATTTATTGGTTTATTTTTGGTTGGAGGCCATGGCTGGTGATACTCAAGGGTTGCTCCTTGAGGTCTCCTCTGAAATAGAAGGTTCTGCTCATTGATCACCCCATGCAATGCTTGGGACCCCTTTGGGCCGATGGGGATTGAAACTTGGTTGAAATATGTGCCAGGCAAGCACCCCATGCTCTGTGCTATCCCTGTGACCATCATAAAGAATCTTTTGCACTGGGTAAAGTCCAGAAAGTTGTGAAATTAGATGTTCTTTTTTCTACTCAGTACACAACTCACATTTTTTTTTCTTGTGTCTGTTTTTGGTTTGGCACCACACCCAGCAGTAGTCTGGGCTTACTCCTGACTCTGCACTCAGGAATCACTCCTGGTGGATTTTGGGGACCTTATGGGATGCGGGGGTAACTATGAGTAAGGCGACTGCCCTTCCCTATGTGCTATTGCTCTGGTTCCAGGACCTAAATATTGTCATCTATTCTGCTACATTTCTATTTAAATACTATAACGTTTTCAGTTAGAGTGGACCCAGGGTCTGAGAGATAGGACAGCAGGTCAGCTACTTGCCTTATCTACCCTGAGAGTGATGGGCAGCCTGGATTTCAGCCGTTTCTGTGTCCTCGGGAGAGGAAGGAACATCTGGCAGTGTCTCCCTGGGTGGGTCTATGAACTGTGCCTAAGGGTGAGGCTGGCCAGATCCTGTCTGCTCCGATGCTGGGACTTCTGGTCAGGGCCAGGGGTTGTGCTCCTCTCTGGTGCTCATGGCTCTGATTATCCTACAGGTGTTTCCACGGAGCCTCCTGCTGATCCTCAGGAATTACAGAAGCTGCAGACGATGGTGACACGCCATCTGACACACTGTCCTCAGGTGGGAGGAGAATGATGTGGCGACATGATGCGGTGACAGGAGCTCACAGGCTTCCAGGGCTGTGTGTCTCTGGGTTTGAGAAAGGAGACTTGGAATGTGGATCCTGGCCTGAGGGTCCGAATTTCTGCTGTTTGAGGCCACTTTGTTCTTTGTTTGTTTTGTTGTATTTGGGTTGGAGGCGACACCTAATGGTGCTCAATGAGTTCTCGAAACTCAGTGCTCAAGGAGCACTCCTGCCAGGTCTTGGGAACCCTACGAGCTGTGGTGGGTACAAGATTGACTTCCTCAGTTTCTTTGTTTTGTGAGGTGCTGGGAGATTCACATTGGTGATTCTCAGGGTATATTCCTGGTTCTGCACTTGACATTGCACCTGCAGTGCTTGGGGGACCATATGGGACAGTGGGGGTTGACAGTCCTACCTGCTGACCCTGGACCCGCTGTAACAATACTTGATCCTGCTGTTTTGTTTTCTGTTGTTTTTGTTGTTATCCCATAGTGGAGCTTCTCAGGGCTTTGTGTTGGCTCTGTATTTTGGAATCATCCTTGAATGGCATAGAGGTCCCTGTGGCCTGCTGGCCCCATATATGCTCTGACAGTTGCAATGACTCTGGCCCCAGGACATTTCCCCTATTTTGTCCATCCTGCTCTTGAGAGCCTCGTCTGCTCAGTCACACAGTGTCATGCTCCTGTATGCGCTGGTCCCAGGGAGCCAGACAGGATCGCCAGAAGTGTTGTATGTCAGGACACTTTTATATGGGGCCAGAAAGCTAGCACAGCGCTAGGGCATTTTCTGCACGGTCCAGGATAAATCATCTTCATCCCATATGGTCCTCTGAGTACCAGCAATAGTAATTCCAGAGTGCAGAGCCAGGAGGAACACCTGATCATCACCAGGGGATAATCAAAAAGCCAACCAAACAAAGACACTTCCATCTGGTTCGACAGGGATTTGGGGCAGCCCTGAATGGTGAGTTCCGAGTCCTACATACACATGTGTCCTCATACACTTTTAAGTTGGTTGCTGGACATCGAGTGTCCCCTTCTCATCGCTAGAAGAGGGATATGGGCTTTTGATCTTGCTGGTTCAGTGCTCAGTTGTTACTCTGCAGTGCTCACTGGACCAGTGTTTTGGGATTGGCCTGCGGGTGGCTGTGTGCAAGACTGGCGCCTCCAGAAACCTTCCTGTTTAGCTTCTTCATATTTTAACAGATCCGGCTGCCTTAGAGTAATGTCTGGAGTGATTTCTCCACGTCAGCTAGGGAGGCGCATGGAGAGAAAGAAATTGAGGCTGGTTTCTCTCTCGAGAGAGGCCCAGAGACCCTTAAGGGTCCTGAGGTGTCCCATCCTCACAGCCTGGGAATGGAGTAGAGTTGGGCCCTGACTCCCGTTCCCCTGTGTGTTGGCTCAGGACGCAGTTACCTTCCCCGATGTGGCTGTGAGCTTCTCCCCAGAGGAGTGGATGTGCCTGGACGCCGATCAGAGAAAGCTGTACAGGGACGTGATGCTGGAGACCTACCAGCACCTGCGAGCCGTTGGTGAGAGCAGCATGGGTGCCGACTGCCTGGACGAACCAATGTGGGCACCTGGGGGCTGGGCTGGGCTGGGCTGTATTCAATTGGGGCCGTGATTCTGACAGGCCAGGATTTTTATTTTATTTTATTTTTGCTTTTTGGGTCATACCCGGCGATGCTCAGGGGTTCCTCCTGGCTCTGCACTCAGGAATCACTCCCGGCGGTGCTCGGGGGACCATATGGGATGCTGGGAATCGAACCTGTGTTGGCCATGTTGGCTGCGTGCAAGGCAAACGCCCTACCCACTGTGCTATTGCTCCAGCCCCAGGGATTTTTATTTTTTATTTATTTATTTATTTTGCTTTTTGGGTTACACCCGGGGATGCTCAGGGGTTACTCCTGGCTTTGCACTCAGGAATCACTCCTGGGAAACATATGGGATGCTGGGAATTGAACCCAGGTCGGCAGCAAAACGCCCTACCCGCTGTGCTATTGCTCCAGCCCCAGGCCAGGATTTTTAACAGCGATCAGCTATACGGATAATTCTTTTTTTGAACTTGTTGTTTTCTGTTTTTGTTATTTGGCTGTACTAGGCAATTGTCAGCTATTACTGGGTCAGCTTTGTGCATGGCAAAGCACCCTACACACTGTATGTCACTCAGGTTCTGTGAATAGTTCCTTCATTGCTAAATCAATTTGCATCTTGTTCTACCCTTCACGTCAGTGTATTTGTTTTGGTTTTACTTTGGGTTTTGACTCAGGGCCACAGTCCACATTCCTCCTGGTTCTGTGCTAAAGGATCACACCTGGCAGTGCTCTGGGACCCACGGGGGTGCTGTGGTTTAATTCACAGGCTTATCTTACCCACTGTACTATTGCACCTGGCCTTCAACTTTATTTTTTTTTGTTTCTTTGGATTTTTTTTCTTCAGTTTTGATTTAGTTAGGTGGCTATATCCAGCAATGCTCAGGGATTACTCCTAGGTATATATTCAAGAATTTCTCCCGGCAGTACTATTGAACTGTATGGATGCCAGGGAACAAACACGTATGTGTGTGTCAGGCATGTACCCTTCATGCTGAACTATCCCTACGACCACACGTTCATTTCTTTCTTAGGGCCTCACCTCATCAGACGTTGTTTTATTTCAGTGCTTGGGTTCACTTTCAGTGGTTCTTGGGAAACTTCTGTCTGACTCAATTTCACTCTGAAACTAAAACCTGGGATTTATTTCTCTGATAACCTCCAATCTGGGAGATTCTGTTCATATCTTTTTAGGAGTTTGCCTGATTTTATTAGGGACATAGGGTTGACCTGTCACCTTTTCCTTGTCACTAATGTATGCTTTATCTCTGTGGGATGCAGGGCATTCAGGGGTGAAGCCTGAAGTGATCTCTTGGCTGGAAAGAGGAGCCCTGAGGCTGGGGAGGAGAGGCGTGTGTGCAGGTGAGTGTCTGTGAACTCTCCCTGGCTGGGGCCCTGGGCAGTGTGTCAGTTCCCTGAGCGTGTGTGAATCACACTGCTGAACCGGGGGCTTCGGGCTCCTGTATCCAGGTGACTGTGCTGCACTCACACTGCCCCTCACTCCATTGTACTGTCCCTTATGGAATGATCCTATGCCTTACTTTCTTGGCTTTATCATTATTCTTCATCTGTCTTCATTCATTTCATTATTCTTCATTTTGCCAAGACATCAAAAATCAGATGGGCTGGACACGTAATGAGGTTTACAGACAACCGCTGGACTAGAGCCATTACCGATTGGATTCCACGGGACATCAAAAGATCACGTGGACGCCCACCCATAAGATGGTCAGACTTCTTCGTCAAGACCCTAAATGATCGGTTTGAGGCTCTGCATGTTCCTAGAACGAACAGATACCATTGGGTTACGCTAGCACGCAACCGGGATGAATGGAGACGTTACTGGCACCCGCTCGAATAAATCGATGAATAATGGGGATTAAGTGATTTAAGTGATTCATCTGTCCAGCATGTAGAATAGTCCGTGGGATTCATGGCCCTTGTCTCAAGTTTTTGCCTTACCAGCCTGGTTGTACAGCCTCCCAAGTCTGCATGCCCTCTTCAGGATCAACTGGATTCCTCTCTGCTCTCTCTGTCATGCTTTTCTTTGCCCTCAGATCAATAGTATGTTTTGTCATAATATGAACTGAAATTTTTTGTTTCAATTTTGAGCTGGGGATTTTCAGAGTTTTTTCCTGGCAGTTCTCAGAGGTTACTTTTGGTGGTGCCCAGGGATCGGCCCCTGTCAGCTTCATGCAAGGCAAATGCCCTACCTGCTGTTTTCTATAACTCCCTAAGAATATCTTTGCTTTTCTTTTTAAACAGTGAATGAGTGAGCCCATAACTAGGCTAATTTGAGCTAGAGTGATAGTACAGCAAAGTACTATTTACTTGCCTTTCGTATGTTCGACTCAGATTGAATCCGTGGCATCCGATATGGTCCCCCCTGGTAACACCAGGTCTGGTCAAAAAAACAAAACACAAAAAGTCATTTTGTGAATTCCCAAGCTGCTCTCATCAATCCCTGCAGTGGATCTCACTGAAATATGTTCCATCACTAATTCTTCCGTTTTGTATTGTGTTTGATTTCAGAACTCAAGCTGCAGCTTCAGGATTTGGCATTGCAGCAGTTTGACTTGAGAATGGGGTCTCTGAATAGGAGTGAGCTGGTATGATTTGCGTGTTGAATATAAATATTATGCCGGTGGGGTAGCTCGCGGGAACTGATTGTGACTTGAAAGGTGAAAGTCTGGGCATTGCATGAGGAACTTTGGAGCCTAATGCTGGGAGTAGAGGGTCTGTAGTCTCACTGGGTGCTAAAATCAGTCATTTTAAATCTAAAGATATTTTTCTTCTTCTTCCTCTTCTTCCTCTTCCTCTTCCTTCTTCCTCTTCCTCCTCCTTCTTCTTCTTCCTCCTCCTCCACCTTCTTCTACCTCTTCCTCCTTCTTCTTTCTCCTCCTCCTCCTCCTCCTTTTCATTCCCACGCAGAAATGCTGAGGGGTTACTCCTAGCTCTGCACTCAGGAATTACTCCTGGCAGTGCTCAGGGTACCCGTGGGATGCCAGGGCTTAAACTTGGGTCTGCCACATGCTACACAAGCACCTTTCCCACTGTACTATCATTCCAGCCCCAATTCCTCCTATCTTTAATATGTAAGAAATACTGTAATTTTTCATTCCACTGAAAGTAAGCACAAGTTTAATTGTTTGAAAGAACTGGTTTGTTGGCACTAGTGATAGTACAATGGGAAGGGGACTTATTTTACACAAGGATGGAAACCTGGGCTCCATCCCCAGTACCCCATATGGTCCCAGAGCCTCACTAACAGTGATCCCTGAACACTGCTTGGTGTGGGCCCCTCAAATGAAATAAACTACAAAACAAGAAGAACAAAAAAAACATGCATTGATCCGGGCGAGGAACCAACTTGTGGTGAGATGTTTTCAGTGGATCCTTGGTCCTTCTTGTCTGTATGTGGCTGCAGCATTGCCTTCACACACGCTTCACTGGCTCCACACTGAGCTAGAACCGAACTGGACACAGGTGTATTTTATTTTGCTTGAAACTACTTCGGTTTTCTACAGGGGACTTATTTCCATTTAATGTATCTGTTTATTGAGTTGACAGCTTAATCACCCTGTATCCTTTTGTTTTGTGAATCCACCATGTAGGAACATTAGCTTTTCCATGGAAAAGCCATTCACATGTCAGGAATTGCATTCCTTGTGATGGAAATGTTAGAAACCAACCTGCCGGCATTAGTTTCTTTTGACAGGGAGACTCAAGGAATAGCAAAGTAATTGGAATCCTCCTCTCCTATTCTACAGGGAAGCAGCCAGCCCAGGTGGAATGTCTCTGATCCTGCGCACTGTGACAAAGTCTCGAGTGAGCAGTCCTGCCCTCATACCCATGAGGATGCCAAGACAGGTGGTATATCTTCTGAAGGTGATCAGAATGGAAAGAGTGACCTCACTCTGAAGAAGCCCTCCTCTCGGAAATGCTCCTCACAATCTGTTGTCCTCAATTTTAGGACACAAACTCCCTCAGTGGGGCAGCCCCTGGATTGTGGAAAAGGAATACCATTTATAGTGAGTCAGTCACGCAAACGTGCCAACAAGCAAAGACACCATGGACTGAACCCATCCAAGAGTAACTATTGTGGGGGAGCCTTCCCATGTTCTCAGCATCTTGATCTTCCCTTAGAAAGCCACAGTGTTCAGAATCCCAAGGATTGTCAACAGCGAGGACAAAAGTTGAGTCAGGCAACTTCCTGGTATGATAGTACAAAGATCCGCAGTGGAGTGAAACTGGATATGTGTAAGGACTGTGGGAAGGCGTTCACTTCCCCCTCAAACCTTATTACACATAGGAGACTTCATACTGCAGAGAAACCCCATGCATATGAGGAATGTGGACAGACCTTTACCCTGTCTTCACAACTTAGTGTCCACAGGGAAATTCATACAGGAACGAAAACTTTCGCTTGTCAGGACTGTGGGAAGGCCTTCAGTTGCTACTCAAACCTTTCTCGTCACAAGAAAAGTCATTCTGGAGAGAAACCATATTCATGTCAGGACTGTGGGAAGGTCTTTGCTTATTACTCAAGCCTTTGTACACACAAGAAACATCACACTGGAGAGAAACCGTATATCTGTAAGGAATGTGGGAAGGCATTTGCTTATTCTTCAAGCCTTTTGAATCACAGGAGAATTCATACTGGAGAGAAGCCTTGTGTATGTCAGGAATGTGGGAAGGCCTTTAGCACATCCTCAGGACTTACTGTTCATAGGAGAATTCACACTGGAGAGAAACCTCATAAATGTAAGGCTTGTGGAAAGGCCTTCACTCATCGGTCAGTCCTTACTGAGCATCTGAAAACTCATACTGGAGAGAAGCCTTATGTATGTCAGGAATGTGGGAAAGCCTTTAGCACATCCTCAAAACTTACTTTACACAGGAGAATTCACACTGGAGAGAAACCATATATTTGTAAGGAGTGTGGGAAGGCCTTCAGTAGCACTTCCAGCCTTCATCAGCATAGGAGTTTTCATACTAGAGAGAAACTTTTTGCATGTGAGGAATGTGGAAAGACATATTTTCATTCCTCAAACCTTTGTAGTCATAAGAAAACACACATTAAAGAGAAACCTTATATTTGTAAGGATTGTGGGAAGGCCTTCTCTGTAATTTGGTATCTTACTAAGCACAGAAAAGTTCATAGTTGAAGAGAAACCTCATAAATGTCACACATGTGGAAAGGCCTTTACTCTGTCTTCAGGCCTTAGAATTCATATGAAATTGCACACTCGAGAGAAATCTGTATGTTAATAATGTGGGAAGGCCTTCCTATTTCCCTCCAGGCTTGGTAGATACAGTAAAATTTATGCTAGGTGACTTGATCCCCTAATAACAGTCCGTAAGGTCAATACAGACCCCCTCAGTAAAACAAGTATGCTTTGGCCAAGGTGGTCAGGGGTGTTACAAAAGTACACCTAAGAAGGAAATAGTCCTGCTAGTGTGTGACAAGCTTCCCATGACAGTATCATCATGGAAAGGCACTTGGTGATTATCATCCTGACTGCAGCCATACCAGTATCCTGGCATTTGGACTACACATCTATGTTAATTTGTAAATAATGGGTCTTGGTTATGGAACCCAGGAGCAAGGTGACGACATTACCAGCTGTACTGTACTGTCATTCTTTGCTCTCTAACTTGGCTCAGAGGCCCAAGTTTGTGGGAATTTATGGCAGAGATCAAACACAATGCTTCTGTGAATCCTTTGAAGTTGGAAAAACGTGCAAATCTTCATTTTTCAGGCATTCCTGTATTATGTTTTGGGGAGCCACACCCTACTGTGCTCAGACTTTACACTGACTGAGCTCAGGGACACACCTGAGAGGTGGGAAATGGGGTACTGGACTTAGAATCCAGGTCAGCCTTGTGAAAGCAAACGCTTTATGGGCTGTATCATTTTGCACTTTTTTTTTTTTTTTGCTTTTTGGGTCACACCCAGTGATGTTCGGGGTTACTCCTGGCTTTGCACTCAGGAATTACTCCTGGCGGTGCTTGGGAGATCATATGGGATGCCGGAAATTGAAACCCAGGTCGGCCGAGTGCAAGGCAATCGCCCTACCCGCTGTATTATCGCTTCGGCCCATTTTTGCATTTTTTATGTTTATATTTTCTTAGATCTAAGCATTGAAGAAAAATATTCCAGAAAAGTATCATCTTATAAAAATGGCCCTGGTATGGCTCTTTAATAGGGTGGTTAGAGGCAGTTTAAATGAATTTTGCTGTTCATAGACATTTGCAACTTCTTGGAAAAGAAGAGAGTGACTACAGGAATTAAATATTTTACAAATGTTGGGAACCTGGGAGAACCCGCAAGCTCCAGCCATCTCAGCAGGCTGTGATTCCTTACAATAAAGGTGACCACATTTCTGGACCCCACCCTCATCATTTCAGTAGTTTTAGGAGAAAACAAAACTTGCATTCAGAAGCAGTTAAAACCCAACAATCTAGTAGTAACCAGAATGATAAAAACAATTCAGATCTGTCCAAGAGACCAAGTAAGGCTACATAGTGAACTGTATGGTTTGCTGCCCTTCCACTAAATGTATCCCTTCATTAAGATGGGTCGATAGGCTGGGATTTATTCAAATATACTTTTTGGGGGGCCATACCTAGCAATTCTTAGGTTTTATTCAGCCACTATTTGGCATACTGGGAATGACTCAGGATGACCAAGTTCAGTGGAAGTGTCAAGCTTCCGGACTATTCCTCTTGGTTCATACTCTGGTTTGGAAATTGTGTGCCAAGTGCCACTGCTCGCACGTTGTCAAGGGATAGAGCGTTGACTGTGCAGTGCCCTTGCTCTTGTCCAATCTCTCCAGTTTTCTGGGCCAGTTCCTCTCTGCATCTCCAGGCCTAGCTTTGGAGTCCCTGCTTTCACCCATCTTGATTGGTGACTTCCCCAAGAAACTCATTGTCCTGTGCCCTACCCACAACCTACCAGCCTGTTTTACCTTGAATCAACTCACTTGCGTTTTCCCTGATGGACTTAATGTGCGAGAACATTGGTTAAATGTTTGACCGACCAGTACGAGATAAGGGCACTTCTCACCCCCAGCCCCCACTGTGTGACCGCCACTCCAGCATCTGCCTCTCCACTCCTTTATCTGAGCCCATCCCCCCTGTAGCACATATTCACCTGGGTGGGCATAATATCTGTCAGCGCAGGGTGCCTGGCTCTTTCAAGGTTCCATAGTGGAATGGGTGTGGTGTGACATCACAGACACGGTCTTCTGGCGCATTTTCTGGCCTGTACCCAGACAGGTGGGTCAGCCCGCTACCTGGGAGAAGGAACAAGTAGTGGTCAGTGTGGAAGGGGGACCCTGAAGGCCGATTCTGTCGCAGGACAAGAGCAGCCCCGTGCCTCTCCATCTCCGCACTGTGAGCTGTGGGCCGGGCCAGATTGGGGGGTGATTTTGCGCTTGTTTTTCACTTCGTCCCCATTCCCCAGGTGGTTCGGAGGTGTTGCAGAGGCTTTAGGAGGATGTGGAACTTTGCAGGGTGCGGTGGGGGCTGTACTGGAGAGCCGGGGTCGCGGGTGTGAGTGCGTGATCCCGGAGGACCCCTGCGGCTAGGGTCTCCTCCAGCTCCACGATGAGGCAGTGGCAGGTGGATGGCGGTTGAGCGCAGGGCTGTGGTCTTGGGGTGCAGCTGACCCACTGTTGGAGTCTTTGGCCCTAATATCGCTACTGTAGAACATTTAGGTTCACTTTGAGGGCAGAACCACAGCCCTGCTAATGGTACGAGACCCTGTTGCTATCCATCCTTTTCACTGGCTGCAGTGATGGACCGGGGTTATGTGAGGGGAATGGACCTACAGGTGGTCAGGTTTTGCCAATGAAAATTTACTTTTGGGGCTTTTTGGTTATTTGGGTTTGTGTGTGTGTGTGTGTGTGTGTGTGTGTGTGTGTGTGGAGGGGTAGGGGTGGGTGGGGGGTTGCATACCCAGAGATGCTCAGGGCTTACTCTAGCTCTGAGCTCAGGTATTATTCCTGGCAGTGCTGGGGGACCATATGAGATGCAGAGGATTGATCAGGTCATCAAGGCAAGCACCCTATACATGGTACTGTCTGTCGAACCACAATAATTTTTTTTTTTTGGCACATCAGGAATTCTGCTCCCTCACGTCAAGTTGCAAAGCACCACCCCCACCCTACACTCTTCATCTCTCTCTGATCAGGCGACCCCCAGCTATTTTGCAAGTAAAGCACTTAGTTGTTTTTTTTTTTTTTCCTTAAGGAAGATAGTTGGTGTTTTGTTGGAAAGGGGAGATTTGGTCAGGGACTACTCCTGGTATTTTGGGAAGAAATTTACTTAGAAAGACCTGGAGCAGCAGTACTGCGAATAGGGCACTTGCTTTGCACATTGACAACCTGGGTTCTGTCCCCTGCATTCCAGTGACCCCCAGACTTGCCAGAAGTGAATCCAGAGTACAAACCTAGGAATGCCTCATGAGCACTGCCAATTCTGGCCCAAACATGAAACATTTACACATACATATGCAAACACACATATACATGTGCACAGAAAACATGTGAGAACAGGAAAAAAAAAAGTAAGATTCAGGGAAAACCATGGAAATGCTGGAAAATGGGGTTTTAAGGACCCACTGTTTGACTTTTCAAATGTTTCTCGCTAGAATTTGTCTTTGCGCATGAGTTCTATTTTGTTTGTTTTGCTTCGTTAGAGTTGCCATTTTGTTGTTGCTGTGTTTTGGGCTGCTCTCTATAGTGCTAAGGCCTTACACCTGATTCTGAGCTCAGGGATCACTGCAGCCAGCGGCCAAGGTACCTGAGTATTGTACTTGTATCCAATGCAATATCGCCCTGGCCCCACAGAGAGAATATTTACAGTATAAAGTAGACTCACGGGACTGGAGCGATAGCACAGCGGGTAGGGCATTTGCCTTGCACGCGGCCGACCAGGGTTCGATTCCCAGCATCCCATAGGGTTCCCTGAGCACCGCCAGGAGTAACTCCTGAGTGCAGATCCAGGAGTAACCCCTGAGCATCGCCGGGTGTGACCCCCAAAAGCCAAAATAAATAAATAAAGTAGACTCACTCAAGAAGTTCCTACTGTCAGACACAGTTCATACTATGGTTTTTAGCTAATTCGCTGGTTATTTGGATTATTTTGCTATACAACCGGCTGTTTGTGCAGTTTTCAAATATATTCCTGCACAACAGGAGTGAGTGCTGGATGAGGCTCATGCAGATGTGCTGATTCCGGATTAGAGTGATTCAGACCCAGATGGGCTCAGGTCCAGTGGGGCAGAGCAGGACTGTGCCTTGGGCTCACCTGGGTCCAGAAATGACATTGGTCCCCGGGAGAGAGTGCAGGTTCGTGTCCTTGTCTTCCCTACAAGAATGTAACTGAAGGATTGTTCACTTCAAGTCTGTGACTGCTCCATGGCAGAGCCACATTCCAGGCTATGGTTCCCCAGGGCAGGCCTGTTGCTGGCACGCAGGAGCTCCTGACTTCAGAGTCAGCCCTTGGCTATGCTTCTCGGAACTTTTCTGTGGGGTCCAGGGAGGAGTCTGAAGGCTACCGATTCCTCCTCTGTAGCTTGGGCCCATAGCTCCTGTCCCGAAGGGCAAGACAGATACCAACACATTTTGCATCTGCAGAGGAGACAGGCGTCTGACAGTGTCTCCCCAAGGTGGGTCTGTGAGCTGGTGCTTGAGGGTGTGGCTGGTCAGAGGAGGTGGGGAGGCGGGGAAGTGCTCCTCTCACCCACTGCTCTGACTTCTCCAGGTCTTTGCCCAGAGCCTCCTGCTGATCCTCAGAACAACAGAGGTGGGAGACAATGGTGATGCACCTTCTGAAAAACTCTCCCCAGGTTGGAGGGGAGTGACAGAATGACACGAGGCAGTGACATGAACACACGGGTTTCCTCGGTTCTCTAGTTTCTTCAGGAAAGATCCCTGGGATGAGACTTCAGATTGGAGCGCCCCACTCTGCTGTTTGAAGCCACTTTTGTGTCATTTGTTTTGTTGTATTTGGACCCAGTGGTGCTCAAGGAGTACTCACAGCTCAGTGCATAAAGATCGCTCCTGACTGATCTTGGCAACTATACGGATTGCTGGGGGTCCAAACCTGGCCCCTAGGGTTTTTTTTTTGGTTTAATTTGGGGGTGCATACCAAGTGATTCTCAAAATCATTCTTTGCTTTGCACGCCAGCATTGCACCTGGCAGTGCATCAGGGATCATATGGAACACAGGATCGGCAGCTCTATGTGCTGTCCCTAAACCCATCCTGCTCCTTTGTTTTCTTTTGTGTTTATTTTTGTGCATAGTGAAGATGCTCAGTAAGTCCTCTTGGTTCTGTGCTCTGGACTCCCACCTGACAGGCATCAGAACCCCAGGGGTGTGCTGGTCCCATATGTGCCCTGGCAGCTACAATGACTCGGGCCCCAGGACATGTCTATCTCTGTTTTGTCCTTCCCTCTCTGAAGAGCCTTCCCTGCTCAGTCACACAGTCTCACGTTCGCTTACTGCTGTATGTGCAGTTCCGGGCATGCACTGGTCCCAGGGAGGTGACCTAAACGATATCTGAGTCCAGTTTAGGTGTTGGGATAAAGTCACTTTTACCTGTTTTGAGAGGGATTTGGATGACCCTGAACTGTGATTTCCTATAGGCACACATGTCCACACACAGCTTTGAGTCGCTCTCTGGATATGGGTTATCATGTTCTCATCCCTAGTGATCACGGGCTGTGGAGGTACAGGGATCTGTGTTCAGTGGATTTTGCTGCACCCAGGGACCCTCTAATGGGTCCCAGGGTCTGTGCTCAGGTGTTACTCTCTG